CAATTCTCAACACAGTGGGGCCTGGGTAGTACACATGAGAACCACTAGGCAAGCATTCTGTGATATTTTGATTTTATTTGATTTTAGTTTTATAATTGTCACATAATTGTCAAATTACATTTGAGATTTGAGCATGAGATTTGTATGCTTATGAAAATGGGGTAGGGGTTTAAAAGATGGAGAAGCACTGGTATATACTATTGCCAAAAATCCAGCACTTAAAATTGATGATTTCTTCCACCATACTCTATTCACTACATGTTTTAGTCTGCCTTACACTACTCACAATATGTATTAATCTGATATAACAATGCCAAGTCCTGACATTTTCTCAGAGTCTGGAGGCTGGAAAGTCCAAGATCAAGATGCCAGTACGGTTCAGTTCCTGGCAAGGGCTATCTTGCTAGCTTTAGATGGCCTTCATCTTGCTGTGTTCTCACATGGCCTCTCCTCACTGGTGCATGTACACCAGGGAGGAGGAAGGAGACAGAGTGAGAGAGAGATCTTCCCCTTCTTAAAAGGCTATTAGTCCCTCATGACCCAATCTAACCCTAATTACCTCCCAAAGGCCCCATTTCCAAATCCTGTCACCTTCAAGGTTAGGGCTTCAACATGTGTATTTTGGAGGAGGACACAAGCAATCCCTAACACTACAGCAGTGGGGTCTTTGGTATAATGCAGGACTTTAATCTGATATAACAATGCCAGGTCCTGACCTATCAACTTCAGTCTAGCTTCTAAACACCTCAGCAAAGCAGCCTTTGGAAGATCCCAAGGACAGGACCAGTGACAGTGATATACCTAAAATGTACAAGAATGCACATGTTATTTAAAAAAATTGAAATGGATTTGCAAAAAGTTGCATAGTGTCAGTCTTATTACTGTATCAAACATAATGTACAAGGTTATTTATAGGAAGACTACATAGGAACGGACCATTTTAAATGCCAAGTAACATAAATGTTATCTTTTATCTATATTTAAAGTATAGATTACTGGCCAGAATAATCTGAATTTAGGACTCTTAAATGATTTGAACTACATAGGTGCAAACTCACTTATTAAATCTGGAGACATAAAAAATAGAACTTCTGTTGGTTGTCACAGAATAGAAACTTTCTGGTTAATATGATATGCCCACTTATTGTTTATGGCTACATTTTACATTTGGAATCCCAGTTTAGGTGAAAATAACTGTACTCAAAAGTACAAATGAGAGCTTATATTCCAGCTCCACTCAGGGGTGGTGAACCTGCGGCCCTGGGGCCACACTTGGTCTTCTGGATCCTTGAGTGTGGCCTTTTGACTGACTCCGAATTTTACAGTACAAATCATTTTATTAAAAGGAGTGTGGCAGAGAAAGATGAAGCTTTTCTTGCCTCCTTTGGTGCTTAACAAAGAATGGTGTTAAAATCAGAAGGCTGCAGGTTCCCCACCCCTGGATGGGTGATTTTAATATGCAGCTTGGGTTGAGAACCCAGAGCATATTAATAATTGTGCCTCAAATATGAGCACTGTGGATTATCTGCCAAGCGTTTAAAAACATTTCATGGTGCTGTGTAACCAGCAACCTGCCTGAGCATGTTCACTGATGAAGATAGGTAGCCTGATTGTGGCAGCATTTGCTCTGCAGAGTGTGGGATCACATTGCTGACCTTTTTGGGATTGCACATTTTTTAGTCTATCTTTGTATTACAGAGTCTCACTTTGTTGCCCAAGCTAGAGTGAGTGCCGTGGCATCAGCCTAGCTCACAGCAACCTCAAACTCCTGGGCTCAAGCAATCTTCCTGCCTCAGCCTCCCAAGTAGCTGGGACTATAGGCATGCGCCACCATGCCCGGCTAATTTTTTCTATATATATATTAGTTTGCCAATTAAATTTGTTTCTATTTATAGTAGAGACGGGGTCTCACTCTTGCTCAGGCTGGTTTCAAACTCCTGACCTTGAGCAATCCACCTGCCTCTACCTCCCAGAGTGCTAGGATTACAGGCGTGAGCCACCGCGCCCGGCCTATCTTTGTATTTTAAAAGATGGTATTTCTCTGATTAGTATTCCAAGGACCTCAGAACTTAACTGATTATATGCTCCCCCTAAAAAAGAGTTCCATTCTAAAAGTACTACTCATATGCTTTTTCATCATTATGCCTGTCTGGCAATAAATTATATTGTTTGAGAGGAAGACTTTCCATCACAAAGATGAATTGAGAAAAATCATGATCAGTAATTCAAATGTGGTTATTACCAAAAGGTTAGAGCTGTATTACACCAATACATCGAGACATTTAATCTGGATATTCTATCTGTATAATGCCAAATATTTTAATATTTACAACTTCCAGATATTACTTCTAGCTAGAGAAAACATTTCAGTGGTAGAATTAGTCACTTTTTATTGTGGTTCTTTTTTTCTTCTTTTTTTTAAGAAGCAGGGATTTGCTCTGTCACCCAGGGTGGAGTGCAGTGGCACCTTCATAGCTCACTCAACCTCCAACTCCTCAGCTCAGCCGATCCTCCAGCCTCAGCCTCCAGAGTAGCTGAGACTACAGGCATGTGCCACCATGCTCAGCTAATCTTTTAATTTTTCTTAGAGATGTGGTCTTGTTATGTTGCCCAGGCTGGTCTTAAACTCCTGGCCTCAAGTGATCCTCCTGCCTTAGCCTCCCAAAGTGCTGGAATTACATGCATGAACTACTGCACCCAGCCATTGTGGTTCTTTGACAAGTGTAGACACATAATACTTACCACATGGAACTTTTAAAAATATCTTTAAAGCCAGAAATCTAGTTTTAGGCTTCATTTTGCTTTAGTTTTAGTTTGAAATTAAAACATTATGGGTAGATATATTTTTCTACACTTCAACTATATTCATTCTCCATGATTTATTGCAATTCTTTTCTACATGCACACATTCTTTCTATAGTTAAAGTCTGGTAATACTTTTGCTTTTTACTGTTAGCATTAATAAAACATTTTAATGTTCCTTATACTTCATAATTATAATTGTTATTAGCTACATAATATTGCATTTGCATGGGGCTATTTGGAATCTTTCACATTACAGATTATGCTATATATATCATAGTTACTAATCTTTGAATTCTTGTTTAAATATTTCTCATATTTTTTATTTTTATCATCAACATTATAACAAAATAAATATTCTTTTTCAGAAATGGCCCATGCGATCAAGATTATACATCGGTGCTACTGGTCAGTTTCTGAAGCATTCTTTCTCTGGAGAAAAAGCAAATCATGACAACAGTCCAACAGACTCACAGCCTTAGGCTTCTAGGAGCTGGTAACAGTGGTTGCTATTGTTTTAAATACTATGAAATAATTCTATATTTATTATATTAGACCTAACAAATATCATTTCTGAAAGTTTACATATGAATGCATAGTTGGGTGTTAGATCTGTCTAATATAAACATGGAATGAAATAATCGGTCTTATATAAAACACACAGCTTATCTATTCATTGTCAGAGAGTCAGTGCTATATAGTACAAGAGAAACTATTAGGAAAAAGACATGAAAGCAAACAATTGTATATCCAAAGAATGTACACATTTTCTGTAGTGTATCCATTAAAAACCAAAAAACTGATATCTACTGATATAATCTTAGTTTAAAAAGATTAAATCTGTGTTTGTAATACACCAGTATTTCATTTTTGTGAAAACCAGATTGTACTTGTAGTTGGTCTAAGAAACCATTTCAGTTGGAAGGTGCAAGATCATTTATTCAGTTTAGTTGAATATGTATGAAAAGACTTGTAGTAATATAAAAATGCAGTAACTTCTATCACTAGTTACTTTTCCCTGTTAGAAAACTTAGAGTGTTAGAGATGGTTTGCTCTATACGACAGGACTTGGCCACCTTCTTAGAGGGTTATTCAGTATCTTACTATACAAATTGTGGAAGGCACTGGGAATCCCTGCAGCCCAGTGTGAGCAGAACACCAGGTGTCACTGGGCAGCAGCACTCGTCACCCTCCCTGGTCAGTCTATATCCACCCCACCCTCTTTCAGGTCCTGGGCTAGGTAAACAGGTTCAGCTGCAGCCACCGTGGAGAGAGTGGCATGTTCAGGTCTGGCAGGAGCCTCGAGTGAACCCATGAGCCTCCTCACAGTCAATGCTCTGATCAGGCTTCTCCCCTTGTCAGTTGCCATTCACAATCTCCCTGCCTCACATTGTGAAATGGGAGAGATCCAGTCTGATTTGGGAGTTCTGGCAAGGATCTGCACCTTGAGAGGGTCCGAGGACACAGAGTGACCATCCTGAGATGAATTCAGGATAGAGCAGACCCCTTGAAATCTGCCCTGCTATGAACTTCCTCTGTGGCCTCTCCCATCACACCACGTGCTGTCGAGTGCCCAGGGGGCAGCTGGTCTGACTGACTGCACCAGTGGTTCCAGTTTTAAGCAGGAGTCTGGAGGTTAGGACCATGGAGTAGAGAGATTTGTCAGGGAACACATTGAACCCTAAAACAATGAGGTTCAGTAGAGACATCTGAAAAAAAATCAGCCTCAGTCATTCCCTTTTACCTACCCTTCTTGCTTTTCTCCTCAGTCTTTACTGTTTCCCTTTCCAGTTGTTTTGTGTTTTCACCTCAGTTTTCTAGCTTTTGGCAGTGAAGGTAAAGTAAAAGATTATTTGGGCCGGGCTCAGTGGCTCATGCCTGTAATCACAGCACTTTGGAAGGCTGAGGTGGGAGGATCATTGAGGCCAGGAGTTCAAGCCAAGCCTGGACCACATAGTGAGACCCCATTTCTACAAAAAATAAGAAAAATTAGCCAAGCATAGTGGCACACACCTCTAGTCCCAGCTAATTGTGAGGCTGAGGCAGGAGGATTGCTTGAGCTCAGGAGTCTGAGGCCGCAGTGAGCCATGATCACACCACTAACTCCAGCCTGGGAGACAGCAAAACCCCATCTCTTAGGAAAAAAAAAGATCAGCTGTTACTCAGTTGATTCAGGTGAACATAACCATGGTTTCACTCATATTTGATAGTTTATAAGTTTGATTATTTTAATGTGAATATATTCCTTATAATGTGACCAAAGCATGTCTTTTTAAAAGACACATATTAAAAGCTTTCTCCATTTAATATGCAGCAAAATGTTTGCATCTTTAAATATTTGTGAATGTATTTACTCATGTAATATTGAAAGGAATAACAATTAAAATTAGATTTGGATTCAGCCATTTACTATTATACTGTTATTGACATAAGAAGTACTAAAAATAATCTTTATCTTAAGAAATCAAATCAAAACTTCTTTAAAGTTACTTCAAACTGAATTGCAAACACTAAATTTGATAGCAAGTATTCCAAAAAATTATTTGCTTGCTAAAATGCTTATCTATTAGTTTGACTACAGTTCTTAAAGCATTTAATTAGGAAAAAACTATGACTTTGGTTGAGTTCTTAGACTTTTCTAAATCATCCTGTTAGTAGAGATTTGCCTTTGATGGTTTTGCTTTTTATTTCTTCTTGTCCAATTCCAAATATTTTAATGCCAAAGAAGTGTATTTCTGTCATAGATTTTCATAACATTTTATTAAATTGCTAAATATGATGACAGCTTTTGGTACGTTGGAAAATCTCAGAGGAGAAATTGCATATTTTCACCCAAAGGTTTAAAGGAGCATGCTGTTTTAATTAATAGTGTATGGTCAGGATAAGGAGTATTATAAATAAAATAAATCAATAACTTGAAAATTAGTCTGTCAGATGTGCATCTGTCTTTTCGGATATTTAATGAAGAGTAAAGGTACACTTGAAAATGTTTTTAGAAAATAGATAACCTACTTGGTGTTAGCTTTTTTTACCGTGCTGTCCTCAATAGAGAATATATTGGGACTGCAGAAGGGGGTATATTTGGATCTCAATATTATCTCATAATCTGCAGGGAAATCCTCAGTTAAATTTCTTTCAATTCACGCAGATCTCCTAGCGATAAGACATATTTAAAATTTTTTCTGTGATGGTAATTTGGGGGCTAGGGAAATGCCATTTTAGAGGCATAACCAGTTTTAACAGACTTACAGAATTTTTATTGTTTCTTTTTCTGATTATGAAAATATGTGTAGTACAATTTAGTTTATACATCAATAAAGCTATATTAAAAAGTATATATATACTTGTTTTTAAAAATACACTTAACAAAAGAAGGAAATGGAAAGTAAAAGTCCTGTAGTAAAGATGGGCATTTAGAATGGAGTAAAGGCAGGGAAATCTGTTTCACACATTACTTGGTAATAAAATGAGTAGTTTTGCATTTTTATAAGGTTTTTTTGACCAAACTACTACAATCTGCAGAGTTACAGATAACCTAAACAGTGGCTTCCTTATGTATTCATGGAGACCTTATTTAAATTTAGAGGAAGAGGAACCTATGTAAAAAGAAAATAAATGCTGATTGACTTTACTGAAATTCACAGTAATTATTTTAGTTGAAATTGCTTCTTAGGTTAAATTATTCAATAATTTCTTTCTCTCAAAGGGCCTCATTTTATATTAATGAAAGCAACTGACCAGTTATCCTCAATTAAAGAGAAAGTATTCAGGCTCTAGTGTAAGTTCTTTTTTTAGGTGATTAGGTTGGAGGAAATTCTATTATATATATATTTTCCAGCACATAATCTTTTTACTTTAGGCCTCGGTATATCATAGTGTCATTCTGAGAAAATAATCTAATACAGATAAAATATCTCTGCAGTGGCCAACATAATTCACTTAGAAATCAACACACAAATTATATTGGGCATTGTGACATGGTAAAACAAGTTGCTTGTTGGCTATATATACAGTTGTCTTGCTGCTGCTCTTACCTGGCAGGGAGAAGAAATTACAAATCAAACAAAATGCTCCTGATTCCAATTTATATATTAGATATTTTGAGAGATGGCTTACTCTAAATGCTCTTACTATGTGTGGATTGCAAATTATATCAATCATGTATTTTATTTAAAAAGCTGTGAACTTGACTCTTCTAGCATTGGTAGATCTGTCTTAATTTGGTGACAAATTCATGTCTTTTTTTTTTTAATCATTGTTGGAGGATGTAATTGATATCTACAGTTTCCCAGATAATTTAAGATGTGGTATGCTATTGATATCTTTCTCCAGTGTACACACTTTTGATTTTTTGTAATAGCTATTTTGTTTTTGTTATTGTATTAATAATTTTTAAAGTATCCAAAAACTAAGATTGCAAATTTTTAAAAGAGACACTAGGGAAATATTGTAAAATTGCATATCTCAGAGACAATATGTACTTCTGTTATGTCATGGTAGCTGTTGGTCTTATATGTGACTATTGTGCTGAAAAATAAATATCCTTTAAATCCTGTAGATTGCTTCATATAGACTATGAGCACCACACAGATGGCACTGCAAAAACAGTTGGGAATGAGGGACATTAAGTATTTTTGCCTAACTATATAAACCTGGGAAGGGTTTCCCTTCCTATGTTTACACAAGTCTTAGTTTCAACTCATAAGAGAAACCAGCTCAGTGAAATATACCTCAATCACTCAAATGCTTTCATTATAAATTATAACATAGGATTTAGCTGTCAGAAGCTTTTAAATTATAGACTGCAGAATAATCTTAACTATTAGACTTAAAGATTATGTCAGTAGTCATTTCCTGTGCACATGAATGTTACTAAAGAGACGCATACATTCCTGCCCTCTCAGGACCAAGAAGTATGTCCTGGGGATGAACCTTAATCACTCATCTCCATATTTTTGGCCATTGGAAACTGGAGGCCATTTCAAACAATATGGTGTCTAAATAGAAATTAATTTTAACCATTTTTATCTTCAAATTCTAAACTCACTCAATTTAAAAATTTAGATGTGTGCTATTATAAGGCATCTTAACTGTATAGATGGGACAAAATTTATTTGTATGAAGTCCTTTATTAAAAAGTAGACCCATGCAAGATTGTTTCTACTCTGCGTACAGCACATCTGCACCCCTGGCTACTGTAAGTCCCTGCACCAGAGTCATCTTGAAACATGGACTACAATCAAGTAGAAAAGGTGGTATGCAATGGTGGAGGAGAATCAAGAGAGAAAGGTGGCAAGCGGGAAGCTCTTTGTAAGATCCTCCTTTCAGCAAGAGGAGGCCAGTTCTACCAGTGTCCAGTGAGACCATAGGTGTGATTATATTATAGGGACACACAGGAGAGACTGCCTCAAAGAGGAGACCTGACTTCAGGATCAGACCTCAACAACAGCAACAAAAGCTGCTAATGCTGGGCCACACTTGGCCTGAGAGGTCCAGAGAGCAGCCACACCTGGTGTCATAAAGACTAGGAGGCCCAGGTGGTCCTTTTTCTTTCCAGCCAATCAATGCCATAAAATGGATAATGTCTGGGGTGATGGTGGTAATGGAAATGGCTTAACCCAAAACAAAACTTTTTGCTGCCGTAAGCAATGACTGGTGGTTTCTCCCCTTACCCCACCCTGTGCATGCCCCACCCAGACTTGGGGCCACTTAAGGGTTATATGCTTTGCTAATATTAGTGCACTCCCTTCCCTTGTTGGAAGGAAGCAGAGCTTCCTGCAGGAATGGACAGGACAGTACCCCTTGAGGTGGGAGGTAAGAGCTTGTTTACTCAGATGTAGGTTTAGTCAAACTTAGAGAAGGGGAAAGGGAGAGACAATAAGGTGTGGAAGAAGAAATAGATTCTAGAAAAAGACCTAGAATCTTACTGCTTTTTTGTTTTATTTTACTTTTGTTTTTTGAGATAGAGTCTTGCTCTGTTGCCTGGGTTGGAGCAGTGGCACCTCGAACTCTTGGGCTCAAGTGATCCTCCCACCTCAGCCACCAAAGTAGCTGAGACTACAGGTGCACCACCTTACCCAGCTAATTCTTTTAGTAGAGACGGGGGTCTCACTATGTTAGCCAGGGTGGTCTTGAACTCCTGGCCTCAAGCAATCCTGCCTTAGCCTCTCAAAATACTGGGATTGTAGGTGTGAGCCATGGAGGTCTATAAATGGAGTTTTACTAAAAGTGGTATAGAAGGGAGAATCCAGCCAAGGCACCGAGAAGGAGGAAGTCACCAGTGGGGACATCAGTCTGCTGGCATCCACCTTGGGGAGAGTATGGAAGCATGAAGCAGTGAGGAGTTGGAGACAAGGGCTGACCTTGTCACACTTCTCTAGGCAAGGCCCCCAGAAGATCCTGGATTCAACCCAAAGCCACACACCCTGGTGGAGAAGCAGAGGCTGAGGGAGGAGCCTGAGGGCAGCTGCATGCAATGGGCCACCCCAGCTAGGATGCCAGGACATGGAGGCGACAAGAGTATGGGGCTCTCAAAAGAGGAGGTTGTAAGCAGAAGACAGGGCCTCAGCAGTTGGTGCCAGTAAAGTGCCAGGGACAAGACACCTTATGTCCGAGTCTAGTTTAACCCAGAAGACAGCTTAGAAGAAGCGTGTGGTCCCTTCCTTTACCTCCTCTGGATATACAGCTTCTCCCCAGCTCTCCAGGGATGGAAGGGGACGAGCAGGTGGGAAGCCCACTGAGAGGGGAAAACAGTGCTGAAAAAGCTTCAACTTTTATTTGACTGAATATTTAAGGAACGAGACTAACATCAGAAGGGATCTGTTTGGGCAGGTGGTTTTCCTCTTCTGAAGTCGGGATTCCAGAGCAAGATGAAGTCAGGTACAAGACATAAAGCTACATTATTTTCCTCACATTTGAGTCCTGGTGTAGGC